TCCACAACGTCATGCGAACATTGGATTGGGATAATATGGGAGTAGAAATCAATGGTCGGCAGTTACAACTTCTTCGCTTTGCTGATGGCATCGTCCTTATAACATCAAACATTACTCAAGCGGATCGCATGCTTGCCGACTCAGGAAATCAATACAGTGAACGATTTAGCTCTAGAGCTGAGCAGATAGAAACGAGTGGCTTAGGGAGCTTTCAAGAGCATCGAGGATGTAGTGAAAGAACACCCGACTCCGTGCCCACCTTTTCGACTCAACGGTACTTCCTACTCTAACGTATGCGCCAGAAACCTGGTCGCTGCATAAGCAGGATGAAAGGTCACTCAGCGTTACCAAACGCGCAGTCGAAAGGACGATGCTAGGAGTATCCCGTTCCATACAAATAAGGAATGGGATCCGAAGCTCCGATCTTACGCCAAACAGTCGAAGATAAGGTGGCTCGGACACGTAATGCGTATGAATCACAACCGGTGGAGAAGAGCCGTTAGTGAGTGGATTCCTCGGGATAACAAACGTACTGCAGGAAGACCACCGACCCAATGGTCAGAGTTCATCACAAAGAACCTTGAAGAAAGATATGAAGCTCGACGTGTCCTTAGAGCGAGCAGAACCCACTGGGATAATCTTGCATGCGACAGGGAAAAATGGAAGGTTTACTGGCGCCAACTCGAGTCACTCGACAACCAACCCAAGTGATACAATTGTGGTGGTGAACGCGTTAGCCCCGCAAAGGGTAACAGTGCGTTCGTTCCTCACTGGAACACCTGCGGTCCGGAGTTTTGCAAATAACTTAGTATCATTGATTTTATATGTCGCGAAATATCCTGCCATTAGAAACAGCAGGCAGTAAGAACTAAGTTAAAACTTTTTTAATACAACGGCAACGATGACTTCCACAGTAGTCATATATAAGCAGTATCGAGGCCGGTAGGACAGCCACAGAAGTAATCTCCTTTCCGGCGATTCATTTTGGTACACAGGCTTCTTTTATTCCTTTTGTAATCAACTGTCAGCTTGTCCCACACTAGCACTGTGACGCGTTTCGGCCGTAAAGACTCAACTTTGCCCTTTTGAATTCTATAAAAACTTTCTCCTTGAACTAGTTGATTGGTCAGCAATATGACAGACAACTGACGGCTACTTCGTATACATTATATATATATATATATGTATATACGATATATATATATATAAAGGTAAGGATAAAGCTCTCGGAGTTGATCAATCCCTCAGAGATGCGTCATGCATTCAACTTCATTAAACATCGTTTGGAGGTGACTAAATGCATATCTGGCCTTTATAATGACTCGTGGTGGCCCAACGATTTCTCTAGTCAGTGCTCCTATACTCCTAGACAAGTTTGGTAGCAATCTGTCGGCCCCGTAGGGATAGAAGGGTTTGTGGGTCATGGGCGCGGGGATCGATTTGATATGGGTGTTGTAGGGCGCCTCTGGCCACTGCGCCACACGGGCACTTATATATATATATATATATATATATATATATATATATATATATATATACGCCATATGCGACCATAATCAGCCGTTCAAATCCTACTCATTGGAAGTCACGTAAAAAAGCGGCTCTGACGCATTTGATACTGCCGAAACGTCGGCTACTGTTGTATTGGATTGTGCGTTTCTCTATGGAAGTAAATATATATATACATATATGTACATATATACATATCTAATATGCATATAGATATGTATATATATATGCATATACATAGCAAAATCCCTACAACTATGTCATACACTCGACCGACCTCTCAAATGTACTAATTATGGAAAGCTATGGTCTATTGCTAGGAAACGAGCATGTCCCTAACAGATGAAAACCATTTTCCATCTCATGAGGCACCAAAGCAAAATTAGGTGACGTTGAAAATGCATTAAAGGATTTTAGGTAAAACGCTACCCATTTTCTTATCGTTAGTCAATTCCACTAAAGAGTTAGGACACCTTGTCTAACAATAGCTGCTGTCTCACATAGCTCCGTGCTGTCAAAAGCCTTTAGTCTAATTTGGAGAAAAAAACAAAACGAGTTTTGCTTTTCTTTACAACCGTGGCGATTCACCTCCTACCGTTTACCTAAACAGTCGACGTTTCCTGATTGCACCTAGAAAAGAGGGAAATGGAATGATTCGAAATCAGCGAGCTAACACCAAGGCTTCAAAAATAGTGAAATCCTGCGCTCTACTGTCATAACTCCAAGCGAGTTCAATCGCGCTAAACAGAAAATTCAAGGGACACCAAGTTTGAGAAATGAAAAACTGAAGTGCACCTACAACAGATAAAGCAGAAAAAGATATTTCACCAATATATAACGAAAAATAAGGAGGTAAAAAGAAAGCTAGAGGAGATTGGCGCACGATACCTTCTCTGCAAAAATATCAAATGGGATTGAACCTCATCGTTTTGTAAACTTGAATTCGCGAATAACTTGACATCGTCACAACAATCAACTCACACATCTTCTTCATAACGGCTAAGTACATGAGCACGTTCTGCACCCTTAAGTACTTTTCCTTTCCTGCTATATTCGACATACTGCTCAGTCTGCGCAAAAAGTAACTCTTTCGGGGCTGATTCCAGGTACTCCTCACCACCATATTTCGACAGCAGTGCCTGAAGAGTCAATTATACCTATTCCACCTATATTCACATAGATTCGAGCATATTTTATCAGCAGAAATTTCCCAACATAAATGCTGATTCGAATACTTCATAGTTTTTTTTAACGAGAAGAACGCAAACATACTCATTAAAGCAACCTTCTCGAGAAAACTACAAGACCAACGTCCAAATTTATACACCAGCACATATATAAAGACGCATCCCAGTGTTAGGTAGACAGTCAATCTTACTAACTATCAATCTAATCCCATGTCTTTGACTTTTGGTTATTTGAAGAGATATTGAATATCGATATTTCCTAATGTGTGCCCCAATGTGCTCATCGCCCCATGGCGGCTGGGACGGTCATCTGGTGAAAAATGATTCAATCCCAGCAAAGCGATCCACAGCGAAAAGGCGTTTAACATTTTCATCCTAGGAGGGACCCTACATCAAATCAGGGCTCGGTGTAATACCAGTGAGTACTTTCTCGTGTAAAGCAGTAAAATAAAAGGACAAAAATATGGGTCCACTTCGTGACTACCGAGCAAACGGGCTTCATTAGGTAGCTCTGACATGCAACAGAGACAGAAACTCTACCTGGCTTCTGCTCGCTTTTTTCGGTGATTTATGACACAACAAGTGAAAGCTAACACGTTAACCACAAAACTACTAGGAGAGGAAAACACACACACACACACACACTACGAAAACAAAAATGTATCGAACATAACAGACCAAAGAAATCAAGAAATCATCGTTAATGGCAAAAAACGATCAAAACTGTGATCGGAACCTTGCGTTGCTCATTGTCTGTGGCAGCTTTTTCTTTGTTGAACTCCTTCTTCAGTGCCTCCAGTTTGGTTGGCTCAGCAAGTGCATGCACGTCGATGCCTTTACAACGTGCTTGCCATGCAAATACTTGAGCCTCATTTGCCTCCACGACTTCACCGGTATACCTAAAGAAAAAAATGATTTACAATTAATGTGGACGAAACAAACGTTTTCTTGGGTAAATTTTGATAACAAAATGGTAAATAAATCCTTTTCCCAATCAATAAGAAGGAATTCATCGAAGTACAAATAGCGGCGCAATGCGAATATTTAATACTGCAGTCTGGTACGTGTTCCTGGGTGTTGGGCTGCGATGTACAACGAAGAATCCATCCCCGTAGGTCTCCTGAGCTGAGAAGGAGTCCGGCGTTTTCATCAACAAGCCCAGCTAAGAGTAAATCAATACCAATACCAGGATCCACCACCGCCCTGGTATGGAAGTAGTCGCGTGGTGGTAAATCCCCTCTGATCCAAAAAGCGGCAACTGCCTATGGTGGTGGCGACATGGAGTAGACTTTGGCCAGGCTGACCTCAGGACTCCAAGAGAACGACAGCTAAACCAGCAAAACTCCTAAAATTGGAGATTATGCTGGGACCGGAACAACCAGCGAGGATGGTCCGTCCAAGTATTCAGGTAGGTAATACTGCATACCTTATAAAATTTTCTCCGGAAAACTTTGCCGCTTCTTTCTCCTTCCCTTGCACATTCGCAAACGGATTTTCCCTCATGGATCTGGACTTCGGGTCATAATACGGAGAGTTCTCAGCCAAATTGAACAAATACTTAGCAGTGTCTTCACGAATTCTCAAATTTCGCACCTGTAAACATACACAAATACTCGGCTCCCGAAGTAACAAAAAAGATTGGGCAAAATGTTTACTGTAATTCTTGTTCGAGAATCCATATCCACAGAGACGCCGGCCATATCTGCATCTTCTGCATACTTGTCGTCATCCCCTCCTCCCTCTTTTTCAGGATCAAGTAATCCAGCACGAATCTTCAACATCGTGAACATACTATTACTCTACTCCGCCACTTTACTATTTATCCACTGTTATTATCATTATTACTACTGCCATTGTTATTATTATGATTACTATTATTACTCTGTACGAAGCTACGCGCTGCGCCTCCAGGTGGCGGATAGCGGGTTAATCGCGGACCAAAAGCGACCTTTGCTTCCCGGAGACTAAAGTGAATCCAGAGGATGTTTGTGCTCCCTGTTTCTGCTGTACTGATTTGGCACACACTTTAAGTATTTGTTAGGGCTATTCATGCATGCGTGTGTGGGTGCGTTCTTGTTTATGCGGATTGTATTCTACAATTCGGCCAAAAGCCTGCAATCAAGTGACTGGGAAGTATATGGGAGGCGGTAACGAGTAGCCTCCAACAAGTAAGCTCCATGTCCACTCTAGGAGAGTGGCAAGCTACCCGTGAGTATACCCAGCCCCCACGTTCAGAGCCCAGCAAGCTATACGTGGGTATCAAAAATCCTAAACACAGAAAAATGAACGAGTCTCATTCCCTTGACACCGAAAGAGCCACCAATTTCGCAGCGTTAGATAAGACAAGTACGGAGAGGCTGCTAAAATCTCAGGGTCAATGAAAGTTGCCTAGATTACAAAGAACTATGGTGATGATTTGTACCTACAATGCACGTACACTTGCATCCGAGTCCTCGATAGGAGACTTCCTCATGCAAACAAGAAGGATAAAGTACAACGTCATCGGCCTGGCCTAGATGAGAAGACGCCAGTTTTTCAACGCGGTCTATGACACCGGAGAAGAACTGTTCCTCGGAACATGCGACAGTAGAGGCGTCGGTGTTCTCGTCAACACGAGAACATTGATCCATTCGAACACTTAATAACCCGAATCGGACGGTTGCGATTAAAAAGATATGGACAATTGCTTTCACAATTTTTGTCGTTTACGGGCCGAAATCAAATTGTAACGAAGAAGAAGTCGAAGCGTTCCATATTGACTTGGAGAAGTTCTATAGAGAAGACCACACATTCCTCAAGGCCCTCATTGGAGATTTCAACGCCAAGACTGGACCGCGAAGAACGTCTCAAGGACGTCACATTAGGACCCACAGATCCCCAGGCGGCGGATAGGGGGTTGAAAATGCAAGGAATGAAAGAGCAAGGTGTGCGGCTGCCTGAGTTTGTCATAACGACCAAAACCATCCATGGTAACTCGCAATTCCAGAAGCCGCAGCCTCAACGCTGGACGTGTGAGTCTCCCAATGGAGAGTGCCATAACGAAATAGACCACATCATAGCAAATAGAAAGTTTTGCCTAGCCGATGTCGCTGTAGTTCTAAAATTCTACATGAGATCACACCATCGCCTCCTTCGTGCAAGATTCTATTTCTCGCGAAAAGCAGAAAAAGCCGCTAAATTCCAAAACCGAAGTCGCAGAACCAACGCAAACTAGGACTTATTCAATTCATTAGTCGGCTGTTGGGAAGATGCCGTTGTCGATAACATCGACGAAGAATACGATCTGCTCACTCAACATCTTCATGTTAACGGTATGAAAGCTGAGAGTTCGAAAGTAACCAAGAGATGTCTGTCTCCAGAAACATTCGAGCTAATACGCCAGCGTGGAATCGCACGAGCTGCTGGCAACCGCGAACTAACGCCCGAACTTGCAAAACGAGACAGACCGGCGATAAAAGATCTTAAAGAAGAGAGCAGCAGTAATGGTCGAAGTTGCAAAGGCTGGGAAAAGCATTCGCAAAGTCCACTAATGCTTCGCCAATTACAACACCAGAATCATTCCACTCCGACGCCCAAACGGAACAGTTACAACGTCCAGAGAGGTAATGGGAAAGATCATTCACGAATACTTCTCATATCTCTTCGATAGCCGCGTCCACCTTCCGTCATTTAAAAAAGGAGGATGGATATGTTGTACTACCGGTTCTCTCTTCCGAAATCCTACATGCCATTTCGTCAGTGAAAAATCGAACAACACCAGGTCCGGACAGGATAAGATCAGAACACCTGGAGAACCTTCCGCCAGTCCTCGTAAACACATTGGCTCGACACTTCACACGTTACCTGTCTGAATGCAAGGTGCCTACTTAGTGGAAGACCAGCAANACCGTGCTATTCTTCAAGAAGGGTGACCTCTGCGATATCGCGACTATCGCCCAATCTGCTTACTATCTTTCTTCTACAAACTTATCACTGGAGTCATCCTAAACAGGGTTGACAGAACACTGGACGAAGGACAGCCATATGAGCAAGCAGGGTTTCGAAAACGATTTAGTACGATGGACCGCATCCACACGATAGCAAGGCCCATTGAAGTATCGCAAGAGTACAAAAGACCGCCCTTTCTCACTTCCATCGATTTAAAAAAAGGCCTTTGGCTCAATTGAGATAGAAGCAATCATGAAAGCCCTTGATTGTCAAGGAGTCTCTACTCAGTACAAGAGATTCTTTGTGAGCTGTACAAAAATTTCACAACCAAGATATCACCATTCGACAATCATATTAACATTGACGTCAAAAGAGGGGTTAGGCAAGGCGATACCATCTCGCCAAAATTATTTACCGTCACCTTCCACAACGTCATGCGAACATTGGATTGGGATAATATGGGAGTAGAAATCAATGGTCGGCAGTTACAACTTCTTCGCTTTGCTGATGGCATCGTCCTTATAACATCAAACATTACTCAAGCGGATCGCATGCTTGCCGACTTTGATAAAGCCTGTGAAAAGATTGGTCTTCGACTAAATCTCACAAAAACGATGTTCATGAGGAACGGATTGGTTTCTTATGCCCCATTCACGCTCAACGCAACGAATATCTCCGAATGCTCCAGTTATGTCTATCTAGGTCAGGAAATCAATACAGTGAACGATTTAGCTCTAGAGCTGAGCAGATAGAAACGAGCGGCTTAGGGAGCTTTCAAGAGCATCGAGGATGTAGTGAAAGAACACCCGACTCCGTGCCCACCTTTTCGACTCAACGGTACTTCCTACTCTAACGTATGCGCCAGAAACCTGGTCGCTGCATAAGCAGGATGAAAGGTCACTCAGCGTTACCGAACGCGCAGTCGAAAGGACGATGCTAGGAGTATCCCGTTCCACACAAATAAGGAATGGAATCCGAAGCTCCGATCTTACGCCAAACAGTCGAAGATAAGGTGGCTCGGACACGTAATGCGTATGAATCACAACCGGTGGAGAAGAGCCGTTAGTGAGTGGATTCCTCGGGATAACAAACGTACTGCAGGAAGACCACCGACCCAATGATCAGAGTTCATCACAAAGAACCTTGAAGAAAGATATGATGCTAAACGAATCCCTAGAGTGAGAAGGACCCACTGGGGTACTCATGCACGCGACAGGGAAAAAAGGAAAATATACTGGCGCACGCTCGAGTCACTCGACGATCAACGGGACTACAGGTGATAGAGGTGATTATTATTCCACATACAGAGTGGTAAAATAAAATAAAGTAAAAAGAAATATATGCAGATGAATGGTAAATTTAGAAAACTACAGTGAAATACGATAGCATGAAGACATAAAAAATCATTGCACAGACCTGCTCCGCCCTGATGGCTTTCCTCGTTGCTTCGAGGTGTTCAAACTCTTTGATTACCTTCAAAGTAATATAATTAGAGTTGAGAACAAGAGAAGTGAAATTATACGGACCTGTTCATGAGTGCTTGGGTCAAATCCGTTCCATCTGTCCCTTTTTGCATCGAAACCAAGCAAAAGGTTCGGCTGTATATGATCATCAGGTGCAATGTCTTCACCGGTTCGACTGTATTATACAAACACCGTAAATTCTCAAGAAAACTAGGCGAAAAGCTTTTGAAAGACGAAATAATATACTTCAGAAAACACATTTTAAATATTTGCTTTCATTACATACAACTGTCAACTACAGCCCCTGAACAAGTATCTACCCAGTGCATACCAACGTGTTTATCGAAACAATGTAAGATCAAACGTACGCGGCGCCGAGCTTCCGAGGACGTTCGAAACAATCACGCTTATTGTGACCAAGAGCACCACAGTTCTCGCATGCACCTGAAAACTCAACTGCTAGTGTCGTCGAAGGATAAAATAAAAGCTCTCGGCGTTGGTCATTCCCTGAGTGATACGCCTTGCATTCGACTTCATTAAGCATTGTTAGATGTGATATGATGTATATATGGCTTTTACAATGATTTGCGGTGGTCTAGCGATGCATCGATTCAGTGCTGCTATCCTTCCGAACAAGCCTGGTACCAATTTGGTGACCCCGAATAAATAGAAGACTTGATGAGTCTTGGGCGCGGAGATCGTTCCTACGTGTACTGGAGGCCACGTCCGACCACTGTGCTACACGTGCCCCTTTTCGAATTGACTTCTTGGTTTAGGTGCTAATGCTACACTACACCAAAACATTGCACCATTTGATTGTAAAATTATTTTCTAAAAACTGTACACAAAGTTGTACCTATAATCCTACATGGCGTCACCCGAACTGTACCTACTAAAAAGTGTAAATTCCCATCTTAGGTATGGGATTAATGAAAAACAAAAGAAAGTGTTATTTGCAACACCACAACAGTAATATATTCCACTTGCACATTCACTACGAAAATTAGAAAAAGATAGGTCTAGTGTAACTCGCAAAGGAAAACACTGTTAAACGACAAAATACTGCGCGAAATCTACAGAGAAAGTTTTAGTAAGTACGGTGCCAGCCACTGCAACACTGACGTAGGGTAAGCCATACTACGAAAGTTAAGTATTGAGTACAAGAATACGAAGAACCAATGTGTATTAACCTCATAAAAGCGAGAGACACCAGGTGTGAAGTTCTAACAAACTATGAAAGGAACGAAAGAAAAACTAGTTGACAGAAAGACAACGAAGAACACGCATGGTGTGGGGGTGAATGCGTTACTCCTCGGAAAAGGTGACAGCGCGTTCGTTCCCAACCGCAAACACCTGCGGTTCGGAGTTTTGCAAATATTTCAGCATCATTGTGATTGTGCAAAACGAAGTTTTCGCAACTATGCGATTCAAACGTTAGGGAGCATGATGAAATCTGTGTTTAAAAAAACAATCAAAGTACACCACATACATTAAAGCTCGAAGAAACATCACCGCTTCTGAGGAGGGAACACACCTTTTCGAAATTTCGTCGCGGCCTTTCCAGTAGTTCCTTTCTTATACCACTGGTCAATAGTTGCCATGTCTTTCTGACGCTCGGCATGTGGCCTTTGATGCTGCAGAAACAAATGCACAGCGTCAATGAAGCTCAGCAACAAACCTTCTCGAAGAAAATACGGATATAAACGAATGGTAAAGCATTCCACCTGAAGAGTAGGTCCATCACTGGGTACGTACCAAGGATTTTGAGAAATGAACTGAGGAATATGTGGATTAATGTCGCGTCCAGTTTGCACATCCACCATTGCCGGAGCCGTTCCTGCTTTACGTTCTTCCTAATGAAGAAATTATGGATTATTAGACAAGAAGACACAAGAATTTCTCCAAATAAAGGCTCAAAGCCCGCTCAAGATAAACAGACTTCCAAATCCTTCTCTTTACGGTATTCATTTCTGGTCTTCTTTTCCATTATTTCATCTCCACCTTCACGAAGGAGCGCTGAGGCAGGCACGATTTTCCGGAACGATGCCATTTCTGGAACTGTAAGCCGATTTAAGCTTCACGTTATCGAAAATGGGGCAAGCTACCGAGTGACTCATGCAATTTTTCTAACAACAATTCGTTTCACAAAAGGAGAGAGCACTGCAAAATAGACAGACGAAGGACTAATGGAGATTTCCTCACTAAACCAAAGACAAACGTGAATTTCGAAATGTTTTTACGGCAGATTTCTATCGTGGTGCCTAATTAATACTGCCTTAATTCGCTTTTAACATGAGAAATGCACAATTTCCTGAACAATATTAAAGTGGGACACGAAATGGGACTGAGGGATAGCATAAACCCTAAAAGACATCCACTTACGACTACTCGTGCTGTGTGTCTATCGAGCGCGTGATATGGATTGGACCGCGATTGTGACTAGTTGATGGACTAGAATAGATGTATTATAAAACAAGCACAAGGGTGCTGAGGTAGCACCAATAGAGTGAAAACATAGTAAAGCAATGACGTCGGTTGCTGTTGTGGATAGTACTTGAACCCTCTTGGCGTAATTGCGGGTTCGAAGCTCAGCTGACGTTCGGGTTCCGCTCCTATCTCCGCACACTTACGGTTGTGTTTCACGTTGTACTCTGTCATGAGGAATGGAATAGGAGGCAAGTGAAAGTCCACACATCATCATAAAACACTACTAAAACTAGCATTTTCCTACCGAAAGGAGTAGCGAGAATAATGACCTCCTAGTAGAAAAGGTTTGCAGTGCCGGCACGAATTTTCCTCAACGGGAAACTAAATCACTAGGCGCCTTCAAAGAAATGCCTAGAAACCTATATTTGGCATCCTGGCACTTGGCCTCCAGTTATGTGACCGAAAAGCTTTTTGTCCATACCTACTTTGTCCATACTTTGTCCATACACTTTGGAAATCATCTGTACAAATACGCCCATGATCGCGAGCATCTCAACGGGCAGGTCTAAGGCCCATTTCTGTCGTCTATGCGTAATGGCGTTACGTATTGAGATTTTGCTGTTTTACATAAATAAGTAAGATCATTGTCTAACCATCTGCGATGAAGGTGTCTAACTATCCCAATCGAGATTTTGTTTCTGAAAGATGCTGTTTTGTTCGTCGGCGATATCTCATGTTGGTTATGGACGACTCGTCGGCCATTCGGTCACACTGATATTAGCAAACAGTGAGCGGTGGTTTTTCGATAATAGACGGTAGAATTGGTTCGAAACATCACAGAGAAAGATAGCTAGAACAATTTAAGTGTTGGAAGCAAGAAAGAGTTGTTGAGAAGCCTTTACTCTATCAGTTTACAGGTATACATATACACATTACTTGGATCACCCGCCCTCACTGGTTGTGCGGGCCCCGGCATAATATCCATTTTGCCGGAGTTTTGCTGGTTAAGCCATCATGCTTCCCTGGAGTCCCGACGTCAGCCAGGCTAAAAAAGTTCGTCACCACCACAGGCAGTTGCCGGCCTAGTGGATCACAGGGAGATTTGCCACCATGCGACTAGTTTGGTACCGTATCTATACATAAATATATACATACACATATATATATGTTGTATATACATTTTTTACTTTGTTTGACCCGTCTTCATGATCTACTTGGCAGATCCCTGCACTTCTCATAGTCGATTCGTTTCCTCGCACTCATTGTCCATGAAGGTCTTCTAAGTTCTATGTGTGGCTTCACTTGCTGCTTGAGGATTTTCATTTAATCTCGAATGTCGTAGAATGTTGGTCGAGCAATTCTCGCTGGAGCCCTGCGATAGCTGTGCTGGAGCGTTCTCAATTGGATTGTAGAGAGTGATTTTTTTCGCAGACCAGTCCGGTACCAATTTCCCGACCCCGAAGGGATGATATATATATGTATATCTATATATATATGTAATATACGTAACTACCAGCATGCTCGTGATGGTGGACATATGCATATGTATATATATATATATGTATATATACACATACCTATGTACATATCTACATGTATACCCATGTATATAATATACATATATATATATTCATTGTAAGCATGGTGCAAGTTCTTTACCGCTCCGTGTCAACCAAGCCTCCCATCTCTCCGGGGTCTGCAAATTGGTACCGGACTTGTCTCGGAAAAAATCACTCTCTGCAATCCAGTTGGGAACGCTCCAGCCCGGGTATCTCAGGACTCCAAGGAGAATCTCTCAACCAGCATTCCATGACATTCAAGATGAAATGAAAATCCTCAAGCAGCAAGCGAAGCCACACGTAAAAGTTGGAAGACCTTCGTGGACAGTGGATGCGATGAAACGACTCGAATGTGAGAAGTTCTCGGCTCCGCACAGTTGATGTGGCGACGGGTCATGTAAAACAAAAAAAGAATAATAAATATGTTGCCATGGCTCACCACCCAACTACATTGCTTGAGCTATCCAATAATGTGTTGTTTCACAACCTCTAGATCACTCATGACAATAAACCTTGTGTGGATTGATCTTATAACCGTTAGAATTTCACAAATTATTTATGACCGATATTTGGGAGCTGCCTTTGATCGAGACGGTCGGGTACAGATAACAGAAACTTGTACTGTGGAAAGCAACAAGTTTTGGTGGGGTGAAAAATTCCATGTATCTCCGTCTTAAGGTGCAATCTGTTAGACTGCCAAAGTTTGGGAGATTACTGGAATTCCAGTCTTGCTTTTATGTTCTATCGTATTGCATCTCATGTTATAATAACAGAAACATTTGAAAGTTTGTTGACTAAGCCTCATCTGACCGACAACTCAGACGACCGGATATGTTGTACAGGATAAGGCCAGTAATCTGCTTATCGATAGGAATTTCAGCAGAATATGCAGGCCTCGAATATAAATGTGTGTTCACGAGTCGAGTCCCTTGTGCCGTTTAAAACTAGCGTCGTCTTGTTGCGGAACATCTGAAGAATCTTCAGCCTTCTTCCAATAAATGGAAGACAAGCAAAATCGTGTTGATGTAGAAGAATATACAACTGCACGACAGTGACAATTATTGTTCAATCCATTGCTCATCGTCCATAAACACGTCACACGAGTGTTCCTTGCTAGATTGAAAGAAAACCAGATGAGGGACAGCTATGTGATCGTATGGGGTTTCGAAAAGGATTCAGTACAATGGATCACATCCACGCCCATATGGCTAGACCACAAAAGACCACCCTTTCTCATTTTTATCGATTTAACGAAAGCCTTTAACTTAGGCGAAGCAAAAATTTCACACCCAAAATGTCACCGTTCTCTAATAATATTAACATCGACGCTAAGTGAAGGGTTCAACAAGGCGATCGCATCTCGCCAAAGTTACTTTCACTCGTTCCTACTAATCAGATAACACTCAGCTGAACGTCAAGGGCTGGGAATCAACGTATGTTCACCTAGCGGATGACATCGTCCATACAGCAACTCGGCTTTCTCTCTGGAAAAACCGTCAACACGACTATTGCGAACCTAAAGCTCAAAGCTGTTTACAACCATCCTTAACAGTATCATATAGAGACTGGAATGGGATTTCAAACCGATTACTAGCAATCACACTCTCTTCAATTTCCTAATAACGCTCATCATCGCTCATTTAACATGAAGCAATAGCTAGGCGGAGTCTGAAGTAATATACTTCGACAATGCCCTGTGAATCGACCTCCACAAGATCTCAGGAAGACGGTGTTAAGTAGATTTCTTCTAGTTCCTTATTCACATATTAAACAATGCATATCTCCCAATGCCACAGCTATGTGTACTTGAGCGTTGAGGTCAGCATGTTTCAGATCTCAGCAGGAAGAAGCGAGCGGTCTCAGAGGCTTTCAAGAGAAGAGGGTCGAGAGTTTAGTGAAAAGGAGAAAGAACACCTGCGTCTGGGTCCATCCCTCGACTATGCGATTGTTCCTGCTTCAGTCAAAAGTTTAGTCGTCAGGTCGGCAGAATATAATAACTTTCAGCGTTTCTGAACGCGCAATCGACAGGGCGATGCTGGGGTTATCGCAGTTGGGTAGAAATCCGAAGCTCCGAGTTACATCAATGATCAAAGATCGGTGACGCACAGGGGCCGCCTACAATGGATAGGATAGAACCAGAGGGCTACAGTACTCATACGTACAAAACTGACAAATGGAGAGTTCACTAGCGTCCACTCGAGTCTTTTGAGGAACAATAGGAAAGGTGATACAGGTGATAAGTTGAGACATGCTTTTTAAGGCTTAAAGCCATGATAATTTTTGAGTACACATGAGTAGTATACGATTCATACCTCCAGCAATGTGTAAACAACGGTAGTGCGGCGCAAAAAATCCCTTTTTGGGGACCCATTGATTAAGAAAAAGCTCCAGTTTTTCACAAAAACAAATAAGCGTGCTCATTGTGATTATACGCAGTTCCCGACATTTTCTCAATAGTAGGTTCGACACATTGTCCCTACCGCGCTGACTGTATCGAAGTTGGACTAAATGAAATTTTCCAGGAAAACCACATTCTATCACTTCCATGCACAGATAACGATAAAGCGGAGATCTTGAGAAAAAATGAAAGAGTGGATGATGGTCGGTTTTATTAATTAACTACTGTCTACGTGTGCGGTGTTCCGTAATGACCGAAAAGTCGGAACAGGGTGGGACAGCAGGCGGTACAACACAACCTGTAAGTGTTCAGTAGTTAGTCTAACATGCGAGCTTGTCAATTTTGAGATTTTTCGAAGAAAATCTAAACCTTTGAGCAGGAACGCGTTTTGGTTATTTTAAATCCGGAGTGTTTTTGAACAGCTTTCATTTGAGCAGTTTATGTTCAGGAGGGAGCCGACGACAAGGACGAAAAGAAGGAGCTTGATGGAACTGGAGCTGGAACTACTGGTGGCGGAACTGCCGGAGGCGGTAGCACAATGGGGGGAGCGACTGCTGGCGACGGTGGAACTACAACGGGTAGGAATTTCTCGCCGGCATTTCAAGGGCAGTTGCCGATATACCACTAATACTCTATAACTGAAATCTCCAGGCGGAGGAAAGAAAGGCAAAAGTTCAAAAGGGAAAAAAGGCAAGAAGAAGAAGACAGCTCATTTCAAGCAAGTAATTTCACAAGGATCTTTTATTTCTTACTATTGCTAAACAGAAATGGAGATCAAAACATATGGAGGTGGAAGGGAATTACGTTAAGAGCGCGGAAACTGATCTGTGATTTGATCTGATTCGACCAACTGATTGCATTTAGAGTAACCACAACCGCCTCCACTCTCCACTATGGTTTCAATGATCTTCTTTTCTAAATAACAACATATTCACTCATGGCTTGCAGGAAACGCGGACACCCGTGTTACAAAGTCCTATGCATCGTATTCTCCCTTTTATCATTGGCCAGCCTTTGCGCATCAATAGCAATCGGGGCTATGATTCTAACGGAAACGACTTCGAGATGAAAGTAATCACAATAAAATGGTTGTTACCGCATGCTTTTCGTTTCGATGAAGTTTTCAATATTAACAGCTCAATGAATTCAGAACTGCCAGGAAAAAAAAGACATGGCAAAGTTTTAACCGCTTCTGAGACAATTTGGTTGCAGCTTGAAGATCTGACATGTTATCGATGTATGCTACTTTCGTGGACTGTCATCGAACGCAAATTCTGATGTCAGCGGAAATAGTAGGGAAAAATATTGATAATCTTTAAAACACGACGTCTATTGGTGGTCTACCAAACTAGGTATATTTCGTGAAAAAGAACTGTTGACAAAAAACTCATTGACCTAGCTCCTAGCTCGAAGCACTTATTGAAAATCACACATAGCATGCTCGAATTCAGATCGACGATGGGTTTTCCTAACTAACGGGAAGAAAAAAAAGTGCAAGAGAAACGTGGAATTGGACAGTGGACATTCATATCTGCTAACGACTTCGACGGCTTCAGTTCGCCACCCGAGTCCACGTCTAATTACGAAGTCCGACTATCATTTCAACATATTGCACAAAACAACAAAATTCTGTACGAATTGGGAAAAAGTGACAGCATGTTGCTAGTATCACTGCCAGTCAGCATGATGCTACTATCACTGCCAGTATTATCAATCAACAATCAGAATACAAGTGACAATGGGTAATAAGGCGGTTCAGGTAACTTAGAATGGAAGACGTCACATTCCTTGCCGATGTGGGCGGATCACTTTGGAGTGGATGACGTTCTTCTGTGTTCCTGCCTAAACCTTGTAGTTGTCTTAGAATGCACACGAATAAAGAACTCCTTGTACCTCAAACTGGTGTAGCTAAGCCTTTACATGGCCAAAAAAGGATATTAATTTTGACAGGTTAACAGCAAGAACATAAAATATACGTTAACCAACTCTTGCTTACTTGGATACTTCGACGGCTTGTCCTCACCAGTTGTACGGGTCCCACCATAATATCCATTTTCCGAGGTTTCGCTGATTTAGCTACTGTGTTTCCCTGGAGCGCCGAGGTCAGCCTGGCCAATGTCTGCTTCAGGTTGTCACCACCACAGGTAATCGCAACCTTTGTGAATCAGAGGGAGATTTGCCACCATGCGACTAGTTTCATACGAGGACGGTGGTGTATCTTGGTATTGGTTTACTCTTAGATGGGTTTCCTAATGGAAATGCCGGAGTCTTTCTCAGCCGGGGACACCCTGCCGGGGGATAAATCCCCCTTTGTACATCGCAGCCCAACACCCAGGAATACCTTCCAGCCACGATGAGGCGGTAAAGCGTCGGGAGGGTTAACCGATTCTACTACTAGAAATTAAGAATTGAGAAATAATGGGATACGAGAAAACGATAAAGAGCAACGGCATACAATACTCAAAGAAAAGGACTATCTTTATACACCGCCATTGCTGTGGCAGCCGTTATAGGGCTTTTTTATGAGATGAGCAATAATATAGTATGCATAAGGAATACAGCCGACTCCAGTTACCAAGTCTTCTCCAAGTGAAGTAGATGCGCATTTTTCGCGTCGCATGTAGCTCATCTATTTTGTGATTTTTTTCAATGAAGAGAAGAATGGGCAGTAAGGTAAAAGATTGAGCGCCTTAGGAGCGGCAGCAGCTTTCGACGACAATACATAAGTGTCGGCCATGTGGATCAGTACACTGTTCCCAGTCGGAGCGGTAAACGTGACGCTCTGTTCAGAAACTGTCAGTATATCTGTTCAAGAGTAGTACAAAAGAAACCCCTTCATTTTATTGCCTTTGTAGAATAGTGGAACACTTGACGGAGCAACCGGCGCGACTCTTCGCCGTGGCCCTTTGGTTCACAGCGTTGAATCCAACAAATGAAGTATAATACATCTACAATATAATTATCAGAAACTTGTAAACTACTACGAAATATTCGTTGTGTTTTTTCAATAAGCAGACACGAGGTTGTTATTATAGGATTTATTAGGACACAATAGCTAACGTTTCGGCGGTTTCGCCTTCTTCAGAGCCTGGAAAGGTCAAATTGAGATGCGATCTACTCAGCCAAACGCTTTCATAACCCTAGCAGATCAAACTTAACAAAAAAATTTGTATTCGCATAAGAAACAGCTTCACTTAAACACCTCGTTTATTTGTTGTAAGTATTTAAGTTAACTGATGGATAGCAGCAGCACAGAGTAATATATAGGCGAGGACTATGTCTGTGTCAGGTCATTGGATTGGCCTGAGGTATGGCGCCAGGTTACGCGTGATCACAAGACACTCCTCCTTGTGGTCCGTTTTTGAATTTTTGGAATTGATCCAAAACGCTTCAAGAGTTTTACACGCTGATGTTTTCGATTCGTGCGTGAGGATTAGACTCCTTTTTCAAAATCTTCTCCGTTGTGTTCCTACATCCTATGCGCGCCTAGTGGAGTGTTTGCTTTTAATTTAGATTTACCAACTAGGTGTTGTTTTATGTGGACGCAGAGCGGTCTACCCGTTTCGCCAACGTATTCGTCCCCGCACACTTTACAAGAGATCAGATAGACTGTGCCCGAACTCATGCAATCACCATCTCTACCGTTAGGGCAAATTATGCAGCTTTTCGTTATACGTAGACGGTCATATAGGCGGTCGCGAACTAGCTGGCCTTGTAGAGTGTCCGATGGTATTTCTATCCCTCTTACGGAATTCTCTAGACCGGCCAAATCTGGTACATCGGCAGGCAACTGAAAATCGTCATACAGACCAAATATATATTAGACCACCGCTATAATGCTTGATGAAGGCGGATACACACCGTATCTTTGGGAATTGATCAACAATTTATTCTTTATCCTTTATCCCTTTATCACTTTCGTGTTCAGTGAAGAAAATCTGCAGGCAATGGCTGAAGAACACATTCGGTCAATGTTTTCGGATGATTTTACGTACAATGGAGACTTTCTTTACAACTGCTGACTGAACCCATGGCAGACAAACCACGTGTACTTGTTCTATCCGTTATGGTCAGGCAGGAGTTTGAAGATCAAGGAGCATGTTAGTATTGAATTTTGGAACAAATGTCATTATACTCTGTGGAAGTCATTGGAGTAGATGGGAAAATTAAAGATTCTTTAACTGTTTTTTTTTAAGTACAGCTACAAATATTATAATAGAAAGGACGAACAAAAGCCGGTGAGCTGACTTAAATCGGCACTCGACAATTGGCGATGAACTCGGTTATATCAATAATAAAGCTTCGGAAGCTTTCGAAATGAATGCTAAGCGATGAATCAATCAACAGCATATTTTTAAAGCACTGGAAACGTTATATAGAAGAAATAAGGAAAATGAAGGACTTCAGCCACCTGCTAGTTACTCAAAAACCTCGTTTTAACTGCAGCAGCCACTTAAACGAGCATAACTGGTGGTTTGCAAACTAGAATGAGACGGTAGGAGCTACTACTATTTTCACTAATTTTTCAGATCAAGAGGGCTCAGCTTGAACTGAAGAGAGAGGGAGGCATAGAGTGTATGCAGGAATGTTAGAAGAAGCTATAAAATGTGAACAATGAATTGTTTCGCCTTCACCTTCTTCTGAGGTTCTTTCGTTTGCCATAGGTACTATGAGACAATAGCTAGAAGTGCTCTGACCGTAAACGTTAATCACTGCTTTGAATATTATACCTAAAAGGGTTTGGCTCTGAAAATATCAACGATGATCTGAACAGCACGCTAACTAGGTGACTTGCTGTTAAATCTTAAACTGGTGCAGTTACGTCATTATTTGATTCTTTAATGCTTTCTATCCCTCCAGGAATTGAAACATCCATCCAGGTTATGCATTCTGAGATTAGTGTTAGTGAAAAAAATTAAAAATAATGCCAAAAATACCAACAATTGCATATTAAACACTTCATCATAACGGTTCTCTCATCTGGTGAAGTTATGATCGAGAAATATGCATTCGAATCCGTTAGCTCCATTGTTGGATACCATTTGAGTATAAAGAAATCTACAACGAAGGTGTATTTCTAAGAACTTGAAGTCCATACTGTTTTTTTCAAACTTCTCTCTCATTCCATCCATGTAATAAAGACGGTTTGGAAAATCGTCTATCATGAGCAAACTAACTCTAATCACTGATGTGATTCTCGTTGGTACGGATCATTTCGGTCCATTGATAGCACAATGGTTCTCCATAGCATGTAAAGTGTGGGACTGTGATTTTGAGAACTAAATTAATGTGTCTTGTTACCCTGCTTGAAGTGATACTGCAGCTACTTCAATCGATTGAAACACAGATCATCTCGGTTAGTTAGGTCGCCTAACTCAAAGCCAGTCAGTCCTTCAACTTCCTCATGGTATATGTAGCATTACGTATATGGATATTGGACCTGTTGCACGACACTTTTGTTGGATTTGCTGCTTGAGTTGGAGACATTCCCTACTATGTTAAGCTAACCCGTGGCTGCAGTGTCCAGCGCGATAAACGCTCCGCATGTCAAACGCAGGACCTTAACTACCACTTTGAGAAAATGACCTTGCGAGGGTAAAATTACAGCCTACACTTTTACCACTGGTG